TCAGTTGTTTTAGTCTTTGAAGAGCAATTGATAGTCGCCGTTTAATTTCTTTCATTGTGTCACTATTGTTGGTAACCAGTGACCCAAGATATTCGAAATTTTCCACCACTTCCAATCTTTCCTCATTAACATATATATCCTTCTCCATGGCAGTTTTGTTTGTATGCATTATCTTTGTTTTTGCTATGTTAAGAAATAAGTTATGATTTTCACTATTTCTGTGGAGTGAGGTTAATAAGTTTTCTAAACCATTTTGTGATGTTGATAGTAATACTGTATCATCAGCATAATGAATTTCTGGTATTTCATGACCACCGATGTTTAGGGCATCATATTGTTCCTTGTTTATATCATCTCTTACATTTGTTGATGATTACTAGTAACGAAACAATTTTTTTTGGTTTCAATTTATTTTGTTGAATTATCATTACCATGTGTTATATAGCTAGCTGTATGCGGCTATGACTCGCAAGTTCATAGTTCATGAAGTTCAAGGACAAGGCCTGTGTTCTTGTACTGCAGAGCTGTCCAATAATTTATCGCCCTACCTTGCCCTCTTTATTTATAATCACATTTGTCCTCAATTGTAAGCAAGTTGGTTTTGTTCTTGTTTTGTTTGTTTGTATTGGAATCTTCACAGGGCATGTCCAACAAAAACATCTGGACTGCCTGTGGTTTTCTTTAACTAGTTCTGAGACTGATGTCTGTTTCTGGGAGAACCGCCCCATTTGTTGTAGATATGAGCTGTTTCTGGGAGAACCGCCCCATTTGTTGTAGATATGAGCTGTTTCTGGGAGAACTGCCCTATTTGTTGTAGATATGAGCTGTTTCTGGGAGAACTGCCCCATTTGTTGTAGATATGAGCTGTTTCTGGGAGAACTGCCCTATTTGTTGTAGATATGAGCTGTTTCTGGGAGAACTGCCCCATTTGTTGTAGATATGAGCTGTTTCTGGGAGAACTGCCCCATTTGTTGTAGATATGAGCTGTTTCTGGGAGAACTGCCCTATTTGTTGTAGATATGAGCTGTTTCTGGGAGAACTGCCCCATTTGTTGTAGATATGAGCTGTTTCTGGGAGAACTGCCCCATTTGTTGTAGATATGAGCTGTTTCTGGGAGAACCGCCCTATTTGTTGTAGATATGAGCTGTTTCTGGGAGAACCGCCCTATTTGTTGCAGACATGAGCTGTTTCTTGGAGCCCGGGGACACAGAGGCTGGTGAAGGCTGGTAGTGACTGCGTTTGACGGTCTTGTGGTAACACTGGTGAACCTTGTGACATCGTTGTATGTTGAAGACTTGATGTAGTCACTATCTCACCATTAACCCCCCCCCCCCCCCCCCCCCCCATTCCAGGACAGCCTAGCAGGAATAGATACCTAACAGTTCTTGATAGCAGTTTTTCCTGTACTGTGCAAAAATGACGATGACTCGCTGTTTTCTGCACTTTACAACCTCCCACCCTCCCCCCCCCCCCCCGCGCCCTTTCCAGGTCCCCACCCAGGTCCCCAAATAATAGTTTTCATTCGGTTATTTTTCCGTTTGATGTAAACAAGGTGCCCCCCCCCCCCCCCAAGCGTGTTTTGATTTTGTGTTCTAGAACTTCCTTGTTTGTTATTCACTGCAGACATCAGCACATTAATACTCCAAAAGCCTTAGTATGTGTCCTAGTGTTTAGTTCGGGTTTATGTTTACACTCCACACAGGAAGTTCACTACTACATCTTAGGTTTGTTCAGGCTCTTTTCGGTCTCATTATAAAATGCTCTGGTACCCATGTTATTTACCTGGGTGGGCCCAGGAGCCACGACACACACTAACCACGACTCGACCTCAGAAATCATCGGCTGGCGTGTGAGTGCATTAGACACTGCGCTGTGGTGTTTACCCCTCGCCTGGTGTTGTGTGTGAGCAGACAAAGCCAGGCTCGCAGGCTGGCTCGCTTGATTACATGGAAGCAGACAAGGACGGGCCGGTTCGCTTGATTACATGTCAGCCTTTGTACTAATAGTGTAGCTTCAAAGGCGGCTTTGCCCAGGGGAGAAAAAGGGGGGGGGGGGGGTGCAACGAAGTGAAGTATCAGTGGAGGAAGCGGGAGAGACAAGTTGAAAAAAAAACACGCACTGAGAAAGGCCCACATATTCTTTCTTCTCTCTTGCCTGCCCTCTTTCACTCTTTCTGTCACCTTTCTCTTATCACTCCTTCCCGCATCTTTCTCACACGCCTCCATCACACACATATGTTGTTAGAGAGTTTAGTTTTACCAGAGATGAAGAGATGTGTAAAATAACATGTAGTATAGATCTGAACATCAGAATTCCCGCGCAGTGTAAATACCCGGTAAACTAACACTGAAATATATTACTGCACCAGTAAATTATTTTACAAAAGTGGTATTATCTTGCACTACATACATAATTCGTTTTTGGAGTTGAACTAAGTTATATGACCTCCTCCTCCTCTTCCATCATCTTCTTCTTCTGTCATTGTACTCTATCAGAAAGTTAATATTTTCCCTTCTGCTCAGCTGTTGCTCTATAGTCCTCCTTTCCATAAGTGGTTCCCAAATGTAAAAATCTGTTACTTAGTAGCCATTCAGTGTCAGTTGTTGGAATTTGGCATGCAACCTGGTAATAATCATGTCCTGTAAGAATGTTTTTAAATGTAAACAGTCTAGTTTTCATGTGGCCTTATTTGCCATATATGAAAAACAGTTCAAAGCAAACTGTCAGCATGTTAACATTACAGGCAACGAGACTGCACAAACTGTCAGCATGTTAACATTACAGGCAACGAGACTGCACAAACTGTCAGCATGTTAACATTACAGGCAACGAGACTGCACAAACTGTCAGCATGTTAACATTACAGGCAACGAGACTGCACAAACTGTCAGCATGTTAACATTACAGGCAACGAGACTGCACAAACTGTCAGCATGTTTACATTACAGCTGAGTATTTCAAACAGGAGACTGCACAAACTGTCAGCATGTTTAGATTACAGCTGAGTATTTCAAACAGGAGACTGCACAAACTGTCAGCATGTTTAGATTACAGCTGAGTATTTCAAACAGGAGACTGCACAAACTGTCAGCATGTTTAGATTACAGCTGAGTATTTCAAACACGAGACTGCACAAACTGTCAGCATGTTTAGATTACAGCTGAGTATTTCAAACACGAGACTGCACAAACTGTCAGCATGTTTAGATTACAGCTCAGTATTTCAAACACGAGACTGCACAAACTGTCAGCATGTTTACATTACAGCTCAGTATTTCAAACACGAGACTCCACAAACAGTTGTGGAGTTAAAAAAAAAAAAAAAAGGATGTGGGAAATCTAAGATAACATGCAAATACTTATGTTGATCTGTACATGCGTTATCAAGAGATTTGCTAAAATCTTTTAGAACCCACTATAGTAGCAATGTCCTGAAACAATTAATCCAGGTTTGTTTATTTTGTGTCGATAATATTAGGAGCCTTCGTTTGAAAACCATTTGTGTGGGCGTAGTTGCATTCACTGAGTTAATCATATCATAGTCATTCTATGAGAACTGAGAATGAATAAAAGAGAGTAGGTTTATCATCCAATGATGCATAGATTCTGTTTCTGGGCAGTGAGACAATGGCCGGCTTGATCACAAATCCACACAAAGAAGCTGAAAGCAGTGACTGGGATTCTTAAATATGAAAGTTCTTGACCAGTGGACAGTCATTGAAGAATGCAGGCAACATACTGTAGTTAATGTGTGTCGAAGACAGCAGTGACATACTGGGAATGAAGGGTTAGGAAAGGATATGCCAGATCTGTCAAGACCAGGTCGTGCATATTGTTGCAACAGAAAAAAAAAAACTAAATAACCATCGCCAACACCAGTGCAACAACACATGTGAACCGTTGTCGAAGCAACCGTTGTCGAAGCAACCGTTGTCCAAGCAACCGTTGTCCAAGCAACCGTTGTCGAAGCAACCGTTGTCGAAGCAACCGTTGTCCAAGCAACCGTTGTCCAAGCAACCGTTGTCCAAGCAACCGTTGTCCAAGCAACCGTTGTCGAAGCAACCGTTGTCAAAGCAACCGTTGTCAAAGCAACCGTTGTCCAACCGTTGTCCAAGCACGTTCCCTAGACAGAATTTGACGTGTCATTTGAGACAGACCAGAAGGGGGTTTATAAGAAACTGCAATATCGAAAGGTGTGTTCACAATGGGTACCACATAATGAACGCGTAAAAACTTGGTTCAGTAAGCAACCACTCTCCTTTTCTTTTTGCGGATGTCATTTGCTGCCTACCTAAACAATGGGATGCTTGCTTGAATGCTTACGGTGATTTTTTGTTCTGACAAACATTGAGAATAAAGGCTTTGTTTAAGTCTGCCACACATGTTGATGTTTCTCTAATGTTTGTCTAAAAAATAAACATTGGAATCTTTTTCTTCTTCTTTCGTTCGCCAGGAATCCTGTATTAAATGAAAAGTTCCCATACAATCAGAAAACATATTGGAGACGGGTGGGGGCTGGTTTCGACCATCCTACAACCTTACAGTAGTTTAAAGGAGGTGGGGGGTGGGGAGGCACTGAAGAGGCCTAATAGCTGAATAAAATAATAATAATAATGTATCTGAAGGCAATAAATGTCATTATATACTTGAACTGACATGAAATATATAAACTAATACTTTGAAGGAACATTTCTATACACGGGAGGGGGGGGGGGAGTGACCCGAGCTCCAGTTCCTGGCATCTATGAGTATAATTTACTTCATTATTAATTAAATTGCCCTTTGAATGTCTAAATAACCGGGAAGGATAACCCGGTCAACAAATCTCTACTGAAGTCGGATGTATCGGCCGAAAGGTGCAAATATCGCAGTCATGCTGTAAATGGGGACAACACAATTAGTAATTGAATTACATCTTCTGATGAACACAAAATATGTTGAAGAATATCTCAAAGATACCCTTATTCAATGGTCATGCCTATTTTTATCATTTTCTTGCAGTGTTCGGTCACTTGTGGAAAAGGCAGTCAGACTAGGACAGTGACCTGTGTGGACAAGAACAGGGCGGAAGTGCCCCAAATCTACTGCCAGGACAAGAAGCCAAGGAGCAGCAAGCACTGCTCCAGAAGACCATGCTCTAGCAAGATCAATAAGGTAGGGACCTCTTGAGATTCAGCACCACATCCTGTCACTGGCTGTTACTCTAGCAAGATCAATAAGGTAGGGACCTCTTGAGATTCAGCACCACATCCTGTCACTGGCTGTTACTCTAGCAAGATCAATAAGGTAGGGACCTCTTGAGATTCAGCACCACATCCTGTCACTGGCTGTTACTCTAGCAAGATCAATAAGGTAGGGACCTCTTGAGATTCAGCACCACATCCTGTCACTGGCTGTTACTCTAGCAAGATCAATAAGGTAGGGACCTCTTGAGATTCAGCACCACATCCTGTCACTGGCTGTTACTCTAGCAAGATCAATAAGGTAGGGACCTCTTGAGATTCAGCACCACATCCTGTCACTGGCTGTTACTCTAGCAAGATCAATAAGGTAGGGACCTCTTGAGATTCAGCACCACATCCTGTCACTGGCTGTTACTCTAGCAAGATCAATAAGGTAGGGACCTCTTGAGATTCAGCACCACATCCTGTCACTGGCTGTTACTCTAGCAAGATCAATAAGGTAGGGACCTCTTGAGATTCAGCACCACATCCTGTCACTGGCTGTTACTCTAGCAAGATCAGTAAGGTAGGGACCTCTTGAGATTCAGCACCACATCCTGTCACTGGCTGTTACTCTAGCAAGATCAGTAAGGTAGGGACCTCTTGAGATTCAGCACCACATCCTGTCACTGGCTGTTACTCTAGCAAGATCAATAAGGTAGGGACCTCTTGAGATTCAGCACCACATCCTGTCACTGGCTGTTACTCTAGCAAGATCAATAAGGTAGGGACCTCTTGAGATTCAGCACCACATCCTGTCACTGGCTGTTACTCTAGCAAGATCAATAAGGTAGGGACCTCTTGAGATTCAGCACCACATCCTGTCACTGGCTGTTACTCTAGCAAGATCAATAAGGTAGGGACCTCTTGAGATTCAGCACCACATCCTGTCACTGGCTGTTACTCTAGCAAGATCAATAAGGTAGGGACCTCTTGAGATTCAGCACCACATCCTGTCACTGGCTGTTACTCTAGCAAGATCAATAAGGTAGGGACCTCTTGAGATTCAGCACCACATCCTGTCACTGGCTGTTACTCTAGCAAGATCAATAAGGTAGGGACCTCTTGAGATTCAGCACCACATCCTGTCACTGGCTGTTACTCTAGCAAGATCAATAAGGTAGGGACCTCTTGAGATTCAGCACCACATCCTGTCACTGGCTGTTACTCTAGCAAGATCAATAAGGTAGGGACCTCTTGAGATTCAGCACCACATCCTGTCACTGGCTGTTACTCTAGCAAGATCAATAAGGTAGGGACCTCTTGAGATTCAGCACCACATCCTGTCACTGGCTGTTACTCTAGCAAGATCAATAAGGTAGGGACCTCTTGAGATTCAGCACCACATCCTGTCACTGGCTGTTACTCTAGCAAGATCAATAAGGTAGGGACCTCTTGAGATTCAGCACCACATCCTGTCACTGGCTGTTACTCTAGCAAGATCAATAAGGTAGGGACCTCTTGAGATTCAGCACCACATCCTGTCACTGGCTGTTACTCTAGCAAGATCAATAAGGTAGGGACCTCTTGAGATTCAGCACCACATCCTGTCACTGGCTGTTACTCTAGCAAGATCAATAAGGTAGGGACCTCTTGAGATTCAGCACCACATCCTGTCACTGGCTGTTACTCTAGCAAGATCAATAAGGTAGGGACCTCTTGAGATTCAGCACCACATCCTGTCACTGGCTGTTACTCTAGCAAGATCAATAAGGTAGGGACCTCTTGAGATTCAGCACCACATCCTGTCACTGGCTGTTACTCTAGCAAGATCAATAAGGTAGGGACCTCTTGAGATTCAGCACCACATCCTGTCACTGGCTGTTACTCTAGCAAGATCAATAAGGTAGGGACCTCTTGAGATTCAGCACCACATCCTGTCACTGGCTGTTACTCTAGCAAGATCAATAAGGTAGGGACCTCTTGAGATTCAGCACCACATCCTGTCACTGGCTGTTACTCTAGCAAGATCAATAAGGTAGGGACCTCTTGAGATTCAGCACCACATCCTGTCACTGGCTGTTACTCTAGCAAGATCAATAAGGTAGGGACCTCTTGAGATTCAGCACCACATCCTGTCACTGGCTGTTACTCTAGCAAGATCAATAAGGTAGGCACCTCTTGAGATTCAGCACCACATCCTGTCACTGGCTGTTACTTTAGCAAGATCAATAAGGTAGGGACCTCTTGAGATTCAGCACCACATCCTGTCACTGGCTGTTACTCTAGCAAGATCAATAAGGTAGGCACCTCTTGAGATTCAGCACCACATCCTGTCACTGGCTGTTACTCTAGCAAGATCAATAAGGTAGGGACCTCTTGAGATTCAGCACCACATCCTGTCACTGGCTGTTACTCTAGCAAGATCAATAAGGTAGGGACCTCTTGAGATTCAGCACCACATCCTGTCACTGGCTGTTACTCTAGCAAGATCAATAAGGTAGGGACCTCTTGAGATTCAGCACCACATCCTGTCACTGGCTGTTACTCTAGCAAGATCAATAAGGTAGGGACCTCTTGAGATTCAGCACCACATCCTGTCACTGGCTGTTACTCTAGCAAGATCAATAAGGTAGGCACCTCTTGAGATTCAGCACCACATCCTGTCACTGGCTGTTACTTTAGCAAGATCAATAAGGTAGGGACCTCTTGAGATTCAGCACCACATCCTGTCACTGGCTGTTACTCTAGCAAGATCAATAAGGTAGGCACCTCTTGAGATTCAGCACCACATCCTGTCACTGGCTGTTACTCTAGCAAGATCAATAAGGTAGGCACCTCTTGAGATTCAGCACCACATCCTGTCACTGGCTGTTACTCTAGCAAGATCAATAAGGTAGGCACCTCTTGAGATTCAGCACCACATCCTGTCACTGGCTGTTACTCTAGCAAGATCAATAAGGTAGGCACCTCTTGAGATTCAGCACCACATCCTGTCACTGGCTGTTACTCTAGCAAGATCAATAAGGTAGGCACCTCTTGAGATTCAGCGCCACATCCTGTCACTGGCTGTTACTCTAGCAAGATCAATAAGGTAGGGACCTCTTGAGATTCAGCACCACATCCTGTCACTGGCTGTTACTCTAGCAAGATCAATAAGGTAGGGACCTCTTGAGATTCAGCACCACATCCTGTCACTGGCTGTTACTCTAGCAAGATCAATAAGGTAGGGACCTCTTGAGATTCAGCACCACATCCTGTTAGTGGCTGTTACTCTAGCAAGATCAATAAGGTAGGGACCTCTTGAGATTCAGCACCACATCCTGTCACTGGCTGTTACTCTAGCAAGATCAATAAGGTAGGCACCTCTTGAGATTCAGCACCACATCCTGTCACTGGCTGTTACTCTAGCAAGATCAATAAGGTAGGGACCTCTTGAGATTCAGCACCACATCCTGTCACTGGCTGTTACTCTAGCAAGATCAATAAGGTAGGGACCTCTTGAGATTCAGCACCACATCCTGTCACTGGCTGTTACTCTAGCAAGATCAATAAGGTAGGGACCTCTTGAGATTCAGCACCACATCCTGTTAGTGGCTGTTACTCTAGCAAGATCAATAAGGTAGGGACCTCTTGAGATTCAGCACCACATCCTGTCAGTGGCTGTTACTCTAGCAAGATCAATAAGGTAGGGACCTCTTGAGATTCAGCACCACATCCTGTCACTGGCTGTTACTCTAGCAAGATCAATAAGGTAGGGACCTCTTGAGATTCAGCACCACATCCTGTCACTGGCTGTTAAGTAACATATTCAGCATGTCTTATATATATATAGATATCAGACTGTAGAGAAAATGTAAGATTGGCGAATCAGCCATGTGTACATGGGAATTAGCACCTGAGACAACAGATCAAGTTCTCCAAGATTGTCTGAAGTACAGCATATCAAGGAAAAACTGTTGGCCACGAGAAACACCAATGCAGGCAAAACTTGACAGGTCGCTGATTGAATTACAACAGACAATGAAGTTCATACCAGTGACAGAATTGCAGATATAGATAATATATTTCAACCGAATGAAAGAATAAAGAAGACGAGATATAAAAGATGATAAGCATGTCATAAGAGTCGACTAATTGGGAACTTTCTTCGAAGTCGGAGTGCATCTGCCTGAGAGGCAACGAACCAGCAGTCTGCATACAAATGAGTCAGATCTGTAAAATGGATGCACACGCAACACTCAGGTTCTGGAACAGGACTGCAGTCCAGCAGTTGATGAACAACCAGATCTTTCCGCCATATTTTTCAGCTGGTGAACGCTAAGAAGAAGAAGAAGATAAGATGATAATAGCTGGTGTTCATTGCAGCCTCAGCCAGCCTGGAAACATAGGTCCGTTAAGAAAATCTACATTGATAAGGATTTAAACATATGATCTCCCAGACTGACTAGTAAGAGCACTATCCAGTGCATGAATGCATTCCCACTCAGTGATGAATCTTCTTCTTATGCATTCACACTTTAAAAGGTAGCTATTACTTTGATTTATGGTTTGCAACTAGGCTGTGATATCTGTGCATTTTTGTCCCAACACATCTGATGTCAACAAACTCATAATTTAACCAACACTGATGACAGGCTTGTCTGAGGGCTCATAGTGGCCTGGAAAGAAGGATGGTATGACAAGCTTGTTTGAGGGCTCATAGTGGACTGGAAAGAAGGATTGTATAACAAGCTTGTCTGAGGGCTCATAGTGGCCTGGAAAGAAGGATGGTATGACAGGCATGTTTGAGGGCTCATAGTGGCCTGGAAAGAAGGATGGTATGACAGGCATGTTTGAGGGCTCATAGTGGCCTGGAAAGAAGGATGGTATGACAGGCATGTTTGAGGGCTCATAGTGGCCTGGAAAGAAGGATGGTATGACAAGCTTGTTTGAGGGCTCATAGTGGCCTGGAAAGAAGGGCGGTGGAGGTACAGTTTCTGGAAAGTGAAGCAGAGGCAGATTTTTTTTTATAGTGGCCACAAGACAATGAAGATACATTGGTTATAAAAGTACATAGGGCTGGAGAATTTCTTCTTCCCATAAAATGGGACTACAGAACATAAACATGGGTTGAAGGGGGGTTGGGGGGGGGGGTGTGGGGGTGGGGGTGGGGTGGGGAGGTCATATAGCACACGATAGGACCATTGTTCCAACTGTAAATAATCTAGCTGTAGTAAAAGCTTAGGTTTATTTTGACGTTATTACATACGCCGTTGGAACTTGCAGAAGTAAGGTCAGTGAGAAACTTCAAAACTTGCCTGTAGAATCGAAAGTCATGAGTTAAAACCTCAACGGACCTGAACTTTTCCTTTTTTGGGAATGAATTTGGCTTCCAGGTTGACCCAGCCTTAAATGGGTACCAGGTAAAAATATGGGAAGTAAAAGCGGCCTCGTGATGCTGATTACACTACTTATCAAACACTGATTTGTCTATAAAACATAGGTCTAATACAAAAGCCCAATACACCTGAATATATAAAACAGCATCATTTGATTTAAATTTTAGAAGCATCAATGAACTCAAGCCTAGACTTCAACACAGAGAGGTGATTTCTTTGTTATGCATTATTTTTTTAAACCTGTGTATTTGTTATTTTGTCAGTGCCCTGTGAGCTGTGAGACTGATAAAGACACAAACGAAATCAAATGCCGAGACAAGAACCTGCAGGTCGTTGACCCAGCTGTATGTAGCAATCAGATCAAGCACCAGACCCTGCCCTGTTTCAACAAGAACTGTGACCTGTACCGCTGGGAGACCGGAGACTGGTCCGAGGTCAGCGAGAAGATCCTCTTTGTTCACACCCTCCACAGACAGCCTTTATGCCCCAACTGTTATTATTATTTTCTTTTTCTTCTTCTTCTTCTTCTTCTTCTTCCTCTTCCTCTTCCTCTTCCTCTTCTTCTTCTTCTTCTTCTTCTTCTTCTTCTTCTTCTTCTTCTTCTTCTTCTTCTTCTTTTGCTCCTGCTGCTACTTCTTCTTCTTCTTAGCATGCCTCGCTGTGGAGGACACGGGTGAAGAGTATTGTCTGGATTTTTTCACCGGTTATGCTGGTGTGTTGGGAAATGAACAGGCGTCAGACTGGCTGGCTCTGCACAACTCGGTGGAATACTGATGCATGATAAGGCAGATGTGGTTAGTGCCTTGTGGGAGAGCGTGTAAAGTTTGGAGGAGCAGATGGATCACCACTGGTGAGACTGATGCAGGGGGGAGTGATGAGAGTTTCTGGCAAATGCTCGAGGCTCAGAGGAAAAGCAAGATGGACGTTAAACCAGAATGCTACTGGCATCATTAGTATCGTAACTCTTCCCTGGCTGCTGAAGATGAGGACAGAGCGCTTATGGGAATGCCCCGAGTGCTGTGATGTCAGTTCTTGAATCAAATCAAATCTTCCTCTTCTTCTTCTTCTTCTTTTTCTTCTTCTGCTTCTTCTTCTTCTGTATCATCGTCATAATCATCCTCATCGTCGTCATCAATCTTATTTGTCATCTTCTTCAATCTATGTCTTCTTCTTCAGCATTCTAAACTCTTCGGGTTCTTTGTTGCAGATATCACCAGCCTTCTTTCATCTCTGATAATCTATTTGCAGTTTTGTTGCAGTAGGTCTGCGTGAATATTTCGTTATCCACCTACTGATCTACTGCCAACATTTTCCTGTACACAATTTTGCTTTCAGTTATCTGCCACTCTCTATATATAACACAACCTTGCAGTCTTTAGCCCTGACAATGCCCGTAATTAGTGGTAATTTACTCAGATTATGAATTTCCTGGTAGCTTCTCATGATCTGTACTCTGCTGATAACTTTTTGTATATGGAACTGTTGGATAACTGGAGACAAATATTTTAGGTTTGGGACTGTTGGATAACTGCAGACATATATTTTAGGTTGGGGACTGTTTAATAACTGCAGACATATATTTTAGGTTTGGGGCTGTTGAATAACTGCAGACATATATTTTAGGTTTGGGACTGTTGGATAACTGCAGACATATATTTTAGGTTTGGGGCTGTTGAATAACTGCAGACATATATTTTAGGTTTGGGACTGTTGGATAATACTTAGGGAGCAAGATAACCTCTGCGGGAGATACAACATCAGAAATAACGACTCGAATCGCGTTAGCATCAAGTGCCTTTAACAAACTGTCAAACATTTGGAAGTCAAGATCACTCAGCAACAACACGAAACTTAAGGTCTTCAATTCCTGTGTGATCCCAGTGCTAACTTATGGTTGTGAGAGTTGGAAATCATCAGTATCAATCGATAAGAAACTAGTCGCTTTCGAGAATAGATGCCTCCGAAAGCTATTGAAAGTTCACTGGTCGGACTTTAGGTCCAATACATCTATAAGACAGGAAACAAAACAAAAATATGTGTCTGATTTTATTAGAATGCGTCGCTGGAATTACATCGGTCACGTACTCAGAATGGACATACAGAGACTTCCCCACCAAGCCTTCATATGGTCACAAGAGGGTAAAAGAAAACAGGGAAGACCAAAAGAAACTCTCCGTAGAACCATCACAAGAGAGAGCTCAACCATAGGTCTCAGTCGCACTCAAGACCTACATCAAGTGGCAACGAACCGACAGACGTGGAAAGCTATGACCTCTGCCCTATGCGCCATCTTTGGCACAAGAGGAATAACTAACTAACTAACTGTTGGATAACTGCAGACATATATTTCAGGTTTGGGACTGTTGGATAACTGCAGACATATATTTTAGTTTGGGGACTGTTGGATAACTGCAGACATATATTTTAGGTTGGGGACTGTTGGATAACTTCAGACATATATTTCAGGTTTGGGACTGTTGGATAACTGCAGACATGTATTTTAGGCATGGGACTGTTGGATAACTGCAGACATATATTTTAGGTTTGGGGACTGTTGGATAACTGCAGACATATATTTAAGGTTTGGGGCTGTTGGATAACTGCAGACATATATTTTAGGTTTGGGACTGTTGGATAACTGTAGACATATATTTTAGGTTGGGGACTGTTTGATAACTGCAGACATGTGTTTTAGACATAAGACTGTTGGATAACTGCAGACATCTATTTTAGGTTTGGGACTGTTGGATAACTGCAGACATATGTTTCAGGTTTGGGACTGTTGGATAACTGCAGACATGTATTTTAGGTTGGGGACTGTTGGATAACTGCAGACATATATTTTAGGTTTGGGACTGTTGGATAACTGCAGACATATATTTTAGGTTGGGGACTGTTGGATAACTGCAAGCATATATTTTAGGTTTGGGATTGTTGGATAACTGCAGACATCTATTTTAGGTTTGGGACTTTTGGATAACTGCAGATGTACAGTTTAGGTTTGTGACTGTTGGATAACTGCAGACATCAATTTTAGGTTTGGGACTTTTGGATAACTGCAGACGTACAGTTTAGGTTTGGGATTGTTGGATAACTGCAGACATCTATTTTAGGTTTGGGACTTTTGGATAACTGCAGATGTACAGTTTAGGTTTGGGACTGTTGGATAACTGCAGACATATATTTTAGGTTTGGGACTGTTGGATAACTGCAGACATATATTTTAGGTTGGGGACTGTTGGATAACTGCAGACATATATTTTAAGTTTGGGATTGTTGGATAACTGCAGACATATATTTTAGGTTGGGGACTGTTGGATAACTGCAGACATATATTTTAGGTTGGGGATTGTTGGATAACTGCAGACATATATTTTAAGTTTGGGACTGTTGGATAACTGCAGACATCTATTTTAGGTTTGGGATTGTTGGATAACTGCAGACATCTATTTTAGGTTTGGGATTGTTGGATAACTGCAGACATCTATTTTAAGTTTGGGACTTTTGGATAACTGCAGACATACAGTTTAGGTTTGGGATATTTGAACTCTCTTAGTCTTATAAAGGTATTGACAGCTTGCTACTAGGGATAGGATTGATTATTTTCATTTCTGTTGTTAAAAACTGTTGTTGTGTTCCTGGCTAAAGACCAAAGTTGAACTGGCAGCTTTATGCTTGTGTGTTTTTCTTTTCACTGAAAATCATAGCTGTATCTTATGTTCATTCCTACATTCTTCATATCAGCTCCACAGTAGTACACATTTTCTAAAGGATAGTAGGCAGCAGCAAATGGTTGACATCTATAGGGTACAAACTTTGTTTCAGTACTTGCATGTTATGATGGCATTCAAATACACTTGTTTTGTTTGTTGAGGAAATCTTCCATTGTGAATGTCACATTTGAAGTCTGCCTGTCTTTGGTTGTTGAGGAAATCTTCCATTTTGAATGTCACATTTGAAGTCTGCCTGTCTTTGGTTGTTGAGGAAATCTTCCATTGTGAATGTCACATTTGAAGTCTGCCTGTCTTTGGTTGTTGAGGAAATCTTCCATTGTGAATGTCACATTTGAAGTCTGCCTGTCTTTGGTTGTTAAGGAAATTTTCCATTGTGAATGTCACATTTGAAGTCTGCCTGTCTTTGGTTGTTGAGGAAATCTTCCATTGTGAATGTCACATTTGAAGTCTGCCTGTCTTTGTTTGTTGAGGAAATCTTCCATTTTGAATGTCACATTTGAAGTCTGCCTGTCTTTGGTTGTTGAGGAAATCTTCCATTGTGAATGTCACATTTGAAGTCTGCCTGTCTTTGTTTGTTGAGGAAATCTTCCATTGTGAATGTCACATTTGAAGTCTGCCTGTCTTTGGTTGTTGAGGAAATCTTCCATTGTGAATGTCACATTTGAAGTCTGCCTGTCTTTGTTTGTTGAGGAAATCTTCCATTTTGAGTGTCACATTTGAAGTCTGCCTGCCTTTGGTTGTTGAGGAAATCTTCCATTGTGAATGTCACATTTGAAGTCTGCCTGTCTTTGGTTGTTGAGGAAATCTTCCATTTTGAATGTCACATTTGAAGTCTGCCTGTCTTTGGTTGTTGAGGAAATCTTCCATTGTGAATGTCACATTTGAAGTCTGCCTGTCTTTGGTTGTTGAGGAAATCTTCCATTTTGAATGTCACATTTGAAGTCTGCCTGTCTTTGGTTGTTAATTTTTCTGCTCTTTTCTTTTGATGTCCACTTTTTTGTTTTTTTATAAGTGCAGATCAGTGCCTGTAAATTTATTAGTCCCTGGCTTTAGCCTCAGAGGGTGCCTATTATTGTCTATTGTGATTTTTATTTTTTTTTATTATAGTGCTCCAGAACTTGTGGGTTTGGTCGCAAACATCGCTCAGTGACCTGTGTTGACCTTTCTGGGGGAAGAGTATCTGCACATCTATGCGAAAATGACAAGAAGCCAAAGGGAAAGAGGAGATGTAGTGAGTTTCCATGTCCGTACATCTGGAACACTGGGCACTGGAGTGAAGTAAGTTCCGCTGTTCTCACCGTGGTTAGGCAGGCTTTTATTGTAAATATTATCTGGTAAACACAAAAACGGAAACAAAACCAACACAAAAGTGACAAAACAAAACAATAAAACATTCTTGTAAGTCTTCGTCAGTAGTTAATGAACTCAAGAAAAAGAATCCCAGTTGCATAGAGCTTATGAAAATTTATTGGTTGAAAATTAAGAATATGCACACTTCTAGTTGATTTTACCTGACAGGGGTATAGGGACCTGATCCGACAGACAACGACAACTTGTGGCCCAAAGACACATGGTCTTGTCTGACTATGATGGTGCTGATCCAGACATACATTCAAAGCAATGAACTAAAGCTGGAGGAAGTAATTAATGAAATCATAAAAAGACCCTGAATACAGGGAGCTAATCAGATATAAGTAACTGTGTAACAGATTTTAAAAAGTGCATGAAAGACTTATTAATGTGAATACTTTTGTTGTGCATACTGCCTGTTTGGATGTCACTGGATATATGACTTTGACTTCGCAGCCAAATGTACACAAAATTTAAGAATCAGTTATGTGTACATGTGGTTGGCTCCTGAGACAACACATCATGTCCTCCAAGATTGTCCCAAATACAACATATCAAGGCAAAACATTTAGCCAAGAAAAAACCAAGTCAAACTGTACGGGTCACTGAGTGAATTACAAAAGACAGTGAAGTTTATACTAGAGAAAACACTGCAGATATAGATAATTTATTTAAAGCAAACGAAAGAAGAAGAAGAAGAACAAGAATTGGATATATACTTGTCTGCTTGCAAACCTATCTCTATCTTCTTTTACCCCACTAGGACATTACACAAGCAATAAACTCCTGATAACACAAAGTGCCACCATGTGAATGAGGATCACCCATGGAAAGGTCCCAGAAACCGCCATTAGACCATATTTATTGTGGCCCCTGGCAAGAGCCAGAGTAGGGCTTCAAATAACAAAAAATTGCATCCCACAAAGAGATAATAAGATATTAATGAGAGCTTGCAAACATATTTCTCTTCATGAGAAATCCTGTTATTTAGTGCAAAAGATTATGTTCAGTATCTTCTGAAGTAGTTTTTATCCACATACTTTAACTTTTGCGGGCCAGAGGCTGGTATTGTCATAACTAAAACTAAATAATATAAAATAATGTCAGATTTTTTAGAGGAAGAGACAATAGTTCATCATTTCCCTCTAATTTATGTACTTTAAATGTAAATAATTTATAAGAAGAATTACCTGATTAATTTCCCTTTAATGCCCACTCAGAAGATTTGATCATTTACACAGACGCTTCAGTGTCAACAGGCAACAGAAGTGCTTGGGGCTTCTTAGCAAAAGTTAATGGTCGACGTTTGGTGCAGGAGAGCCTAGCATATGATACCACAACATCCAGCTTAAGAATGGAGGTGGAGGTGGTCACTGCGGCTTTCCTCTGGCTAGAGAACATGACACACACACATACATTGTGATTGTAACTGACTCAGAAAGCATGCTGAGGAAGATCAGGACAGGCATGCTTCGTGCAGACTGGCATGCCTCGCTGCGGAAGACATGGGTGAGGAGTATTGTCCGGATTTTTTTACCAGGGTATGCCGGTGTGCTGGGAAATAAACATGCGGACAGACTGGCTGGCTCTGCACAGCTTGGTGAAATACTGATACATGATAAGGCAGACGTGGTTAGTGTCTTGTGGGAGAGCGTGTACAGTTTGGAGGAGCAGATTCATCACCACAGTGTGTTGAGATTGATGCAGTTGGGGGTGATGAGAGGTTCTGGCAGATGCTTGAGGCTCAGAAGAAAGGCAAGACGGATATTTAATCAGAATGCTACTGGCACCATTAGTATCGGAACTCTTTGCTGGCTGCTGAAGATGGGGATGGAGCGCTTATGGGAATGCCCCGAGTGCTGTGATGTCGTTTCTTGAATCAAATCAAATCAAATCCTTAAATTTGTATACTCTGTCAGAAAAATTACCTGATTAATTTCCCTCTAATTTATATACTCTTTGAGAAGAATTACCTGATTAATTTCCCTCTAATTTATATACTCTTTGAGAAGAATTACCTGATTAATTTCCCTCTAATTTATATACTCTTTGAGAAGAATTACCTGATTAATTTCCCTCTAATTTATATACTCTTTGAGAAGAATTGCCTGATTAATTTTCCTGTAATTTATATACTAATATTTTAGTTATTTTACTATGGTATGCGAATAAAAAGTCTGTAAACTGAAGACTTATGATGTGAAACTTTTAGTGAATCTTTCTAACTAACCCATTTATTAACTGGCTTGCAGTGCTCTGTCACCTGTGGAGAAGGTAAACAGACTCGGACAGTCGTATGTCAGGCTGTGACAAAGGAAGGCTGGATCCTGCCAGGTGAAGTTCACTTTGGATGCCGCCCAGAAGAAATGCCAAGCTCCTCACGTTACTGTAACTATGGAGACTGTAACTCTCGCAATCATTGGACAGTTGAGCCATGGGGGGAGGTAAATATGGATAGGATTATTGTTATTTATATATTAAGATAGAATTTACACCTCTTCTGTGCACTTGGAAATATCTTTTTTGGTGCTTTTATGAATTATACTATTACACTTTAAGAAAATTTAAAGGGCTTAGTCTCATCTTCTGATGAGGAAGGGTATGAATGGAAGAGATAAAAATACAACTTTTTCTTCTTCTGCGGTCATCATCAGTCAATCTACACATTGAGTCCCGTCTGGGTTAAAAATAGGATTGTGCGTTTAAGGTCGCCACCGTCCCCCATAGCTTTTCTCTCAGTGTGGATCCCCTGGGCCAGATCCACAGTCTTTGCTGGGAGAGGTAAGGGCAGTACTGCAGTATGTGCTCAGGGGTCTGTCTTTCTGCTCCACAATTGCAGGCAGCAGATTCTTTTATGCCTATCCTGTACAGGTGTGCTCGAAGACCACAGTGTCCAGTCCAAAGTCTAAAAATTGATGTTTATTCTTTCCTGTTGAGTTTGTTTATGCTGTCACTCTCTGGTCTGTAATCTTTATTCTGCTTTCTCCACTCCCGCTTGAAAGACTGCTTTAGTGCTGTTTTGGTTTCCTTGTAGTTGTGTGGTGGATGAGGTTGTGGAAGATTACTCCCAGCTTTTGCCAACTCATCTGCTCTCTCATTTCCTTGAATACCACTGTGGGCTGGTATCCACTGCAAGACCAGTTCTGCTTCCTTGGAGAGTAAGCCAATGTTGGTCCTTAGATCTGCAATTAGTTTGTAAAAATACAACAAAATACTCCTAAAATAACCTACAAGTAAGAACAGATTTATGTAAAACTATGTGTTGTCTATTCATGTATCTCCAGTTTATAAATTCTCATTAGTAAGTGCATGCAGCTGCTCATCTTGGTTACATCCCTGATCATTCTGAGTTCACGTGTTCAAAACTGAATTAAATAAAAGACTTTTGACATGAAATGTCCACAGTGCTTGGCCACATGTGGCCATGGTTACCAGCGACGACAGGTCAACTGTGTCGACAAACATGGAGAGATCACTCGCCGAGGACTCTGTGTTCCTCTCTACAGACCTGTTGCCTCAAGGCCGTGCTACAACGGACATTGTAAGTGAGAGAAGTTTGTCTTATATACTGTCAGTTTGTTAGTGGATGGATCAGCCTGAATGCACATTGAACCATTGAGTCCTTAAGCACTCTGACTGGTTCCTCAGTAAATCCTGCAGCGTTTAGTGGCTCATGACACCAGTTCTATGTTGGTTTCTTATTCTTCTTTGACTTCCTTCATGGTGCAGTAGTCAGGCTACACCCTTCTTTGACTTCCTGCATGGTGCAGTAGTCAGACTACACCCTTCTTTGACTTCCTGCATGGTGCAGTAGTCAGGCTACAGCCTTCTTTGACTTCCTGCATGGTGCAGTAGTCAGGCTACAGCCTTCTTTGACTTCCTGCATGGTACAGTAGTCAGGCTACACCCTTCTTTGACTTCCTGCATGGTGCAGTAGTCAGGCTACACCCTTCTTTGACTTCCTTCATGGTCAGTAGTCTACAGCCTTCTTTGACTTCCTTCATGGTGCAGTAGTCAGACTACACCCTTCTTTGACTTCCTGCATGGTGCAGTAGTCAGGCTACACCCTTCTTTGACTTCCTGCATGGTGCAGTAGTCAGACTACACCCTTCTTTGACTTCCTGCATGGTGCAGTAGTCAGGCTACAGCCTTCTTTGACTTCCTTCATGGTGCAATAGTCAGACTACAGCCTTCTTTGACTTCCTGCATGGTACAATAGTCAGACTACACCCTTCTTTGACTTCCTGCATGGTACAGTAGTCAGGCTACACCCTTCTTTGACTTCCTTCATGGTGCAGTAGTCAGGCTACACCCTTCTTTGACTTCCTTCATGGTGCAGTAGTCAGACTACACCCTTCTTTGACTTCCTTCATGGTACAGTAGTCAGGCTACACTTCTTTGACTTCCTGCATCAGGCTACACCCTTCTTTGACTTCCTTCATGGTACAGTAGTCAGACTACACCCTTCTTTGACTTCCTGCATGGTGCAGTAGTCAGGCTACACCCTTCTTTGACTTCCTGCATGGTACAGTAGTCAGGCTACACCCTTCTTTGACTTCCTGCATGGTGCAGTAGTCAGACTACACCCTTCTTTGACTTCCTGCATGGTGCAGTAGTCAGGCTACACCCTTCTTTGACTTCCTGCATGGTACAGTAGTCAGGCTACACCCTTCTTTGACTTCCTTCATGGTACAGTAGTCAGGCTACACCCTTCTTTGACTTCCTTCATGGTACAGTAGTCAGGCTACACCCTTCTTTGACTTCCTGCATGGTACAGTAGTCAGACTACAGCCTTCTTTGACTTCCTGCATGGTACAGTAGTCAGACTACACCCTTCTTTGACTTCCTGCATGGTACAGTAGTCAGACTACAGCCTTCTTTGACTTCCTGCATGGTACAGTAGTCAGGCTACACCCTTCTTTGACTTCCTGCATGGCATGGTAGTCAGACTACACCCTTCTTTGACTTCCTTCATGGTGCAGTAGTCAGACTACACCCTTCTTTGACTTCCTTCATGGTACAGTAGTCAGGCTACACCCTTCTTTGACTTCCTGCATGGTGCAGTAGTCAGGCTACACCCTTCTTTGACTTCCTGCATGGTGCAGTAGTCAGGCTACACCCTTCTTTGACTTCCTGCATGGTGCAGTAGTCAGACTACAGCCTTCTTTCACTTCCTGCATGGTGCAGTAGTCAGGCTACACCCTTCTTTGACTTCCTGCATGGTGCAGTAGTCAGGCTACACCCTTCTTTGACTTCCTTCATGGTGCAGTAGTCAGGCTACACCCTTCTTTGACTTCCTTCATGGTGCAGTAGTCATACTACACCCTTCTTTGACTTCCTGCATGGTGCAATAGTCAGACTACACCCTTCTTTGACTTCCTGCATGGTGCAATAGTCAGACTACACCCTTCTTTGACTTCCTTCATGGTGCAGTAGTCAGGCTACACCCTTCTTTGACTTCCTTCATGGTACAGTAGTCAGGCTACACCCTTCTTTGACTTCCTTCATGGTGCAGTAGTCAGACTACACCCTTCTTTGACTTCCTGCATGGTGCAGTAGTCAGACTACACCCTTCTTTGACTTCCTGCATGGTGCAGTAGTCAGGCTACAGCATTTCAAATAGGAAAATGACTTCCTCAGCTGACAATAACAATTTCAGACAAGCTCTCATGTCCACAGGTTTGATCAAATTGAAAGGAAAAAAAATGGTGTTTTTGATTTATAAAATCTCAAACCTATCACACAATTTGAAGCGTTTCTGTACAAGTTTTGTCTAATTTAAAACAGAACCTCAAATATATTGTTCTTCAAGATTTTTTACTGCAGAATGTTTGAAGTTTAGTCAAGTAGAGTTTAAGTGTCTTCACTTTAATGAAAGTACATTAATTACTGACCAATGGGCCATAGTCTTGCAATGATTTGACTAAAGGTCAAAGGTGGTATACATAAATGAGCAGCTAACTCACTGATCCACTAACAAGGTCAATGGTGGTATACATAAATGTAGCAGCTAAGTCACTGATCCACTAACAAGGTCAATGGTGGTATACATAAATGTAGCAGCTAACTCACTGATCCACTAACAAGGTCAATGGTGGTATACATAAATGAGCAGCTAACTCACTGATCCACTAACAAGGTCAATGGTGGTATACATAAATGTAGCAGCTAACTCACTGATCCACTAACAAGGTCAATGGTGGTATACATAAATGTAGCAGCTAACTCACTGATCCACTAACAAGGCTGCGTATGAGTCTGGCTTCTTACTGGCAGCATAAATAGCCTCCCTTGGATGACTTGAAAGCTCAGACCTGGTCCAAGGAGGTGAACATTCAATGTTAGCTGTCAGGTTCGCAGTGTTCCTACTCTACAATGGTTACGTTATGAAATCTAAATTTCAGTGTTACTCTGCTAAAACTGTGCTGTTAAATCAAAATATATATTTTCTTCTTTACTGTGGTGTAGCCGCTAGATGTTCACCTGCAGATCTGAAGGTCATTGGTTCAATTCCAAATGGAAACAGACTTAAAACAAAATTATTTTGGCTCCCATTTGGTGCAGCCTTAAATAGGTGCCAGGTAAAGTCCTAGGAAGTAAAGGAAGCCAGTCGACATGATGCTGACCACATCACCCATAGATGGTATCTCAAATGTAGGTCTAGCCCTATATGCCCAATAGCCTGAAGGTGTAGAAAGGTCCTTTACTTTGCTTTTATATTTTACTCTACTAAGATTATGCTGTGAAATCTAAATATCTATGTTCTACCCTACTAAGATTATGCTGTGAAATCTAAATATTTATGTTCTACCCTACTAAGATTATGCTGTGAAATCTAAATATCTATGTTCTACCCTACTAAGATTATGTTGTGAAATCAATCTATCTTTTTTCCACTCTACTAAGGCTACGCTACATCTTGCAAGGAATTTAAAAAGTTAACCACTATCAGACGAGACAGCGACTACCAGCTCAAAGTGGGAAACCAGTTAGTTAAGGTATGGACATTTTTTAAGGTGTTTTTGAGTTCATTGATATCACAACTGAAACACAAATTTATTGGTCATGTATAAAAGTCATCTTTGATGGAAAAAAAAAATGATTAATCTGGGCTTTAGGATCAACCAGTCTAATATGGGTAACAAGCAGTGTTTTAGGACGTCAGACAGCTAGTCTTGAGATTTATCATTTGACCATCAGATCTGGATTGGTTTTTAAAAGTATGGGACAAGTACCATAAGCCCAGTATGATTCAAAAGGGCAAAAGTCAATTTACTATTTTCTTTAAATATGGGCAGGCAACTCTTAACTCTTTCAGGCCCATGAATTTAGACAGACTTGGCCCACATTAATTTCCCTTTACAAAAATGGCAGAGGGGTGGGTGTACAAGAAAGGCTGTAGAGACTGAAATATACTTCTAATCCCTATAACAGTATATATTTTTTAAACGAGAAATGAGCGTACATTCTGAATCTGATGATAAGTGTTTGTTTAATTTTGTTATAGTTAGTGGAAAAGAAGAATTCAGCAGGTGTTAATTTCACAAGGACAACATTTCACAAAAAAATTCTTCACTTACCATGGTTTTGCAGCCACAAGAATAGTAAATATCCAAATTTGAGAACAAAACTTCAAAGTTTGTTCAATGTCCTAACATATTCTAAAGTTATGATAACTTTCTGGGTTAGTTTATCACTCAGGGGCTCTTAGTTCCCACCGAGTGCTAAGCAAAATGTCAGAGAAAAAATGGCAGAAAAATAAGCCATAACACACACACTATTTACTATTCACTTTGTACAGTTATTTACAGACTGTAGCTGCGATGATTTCAATGTAGCTTAGCCATAGTATAGTACTATCTCTTTGTTTAGAGCACTTTCCTCCTCTTACACCATAAATACGGTAGTATGGGACATTGTCTGTGTAATAAACTCGTCAGAATCGCTAGATTCCGAACAGCTGATCGTTCAGCTTCACTGGTGAAAATTCACTGTCTGAATCACTTTCCGAAAAATCTAAATTTTTATTATCATTTTCACAATTAAAAACATCTGACTGAAACAATTTCAGAGCTTCGGCCGCATAAAGACGCATTCTGCGACCTGTTCTTGTGGTTAGAACATTGGTATTCAGTGCACTCAAAAACGAACTTAGAAAATAAACTGTAAAAAAAAAATTGATGTTTTTTTTTCTCTCAAATAATCCACGTGTGTTTTAGTCCAAGAAGTGAAACTAAAAGGATTTCGGTAGAGTGACTTTCCCTGAATATGTTATTCGTACCTCCAAACATTAGAAACTAGTACGAACGCGCATGCGAAGCAAAATGTAAGAGATACACGATTAACGATGACACTGTTGTTTGGGCAGAACGGAACTTCTCAAACTACGCTCACACCGTTGTTTGGGCCTTAAAGAGTTAATTATATCAAAATATATTTTCAAAATATTCGTCAAAATTCTCTACATACACTACTTTGTAATTATTCTTATATAATTCTATCAATTTCACTTGTTCATTCATGTATGATTTGTCTCCAGAAATGGAGACCGATTAAGGTTTAATTCTGTCCACTAAAGATAGATAAATATTAGTAAAAGAAAAAAGCCTTAGACTGGAAAATGGTTGTTAAAAAAAATTAAAAATTATGATTATATTATAATCAATATTAACTTCATTAAGAAGAAGAAAAGTGGGCAGCCATCATTATCACAATGTCAGTGTGTGATTTCTTCATTATCAATGTGTGATTTTAATCAGGCACAAGGGGAAGATTAAGGACATGAGAAAGAAATAGGAGAAGTATCAGGAGAAAGGAAGAAGGAAGACAGGAAGAAGATGCATTTTACCACATAAAAAATAAATAATTTGTGTCTGTTTGACTCTACTTTATCACCTACGGGGCATAGAGCCTAACCAATTCATGTCAAGAACTCCTGTCTAGTTACACATCCTCACTGTAAGAATCATCGCTGTCTAGTTACACGTCCTCACTGTATGAATCATCGCTGTCTAGTTAAACATCCTCACTGTAAGAATCATCGCTGTCTAGTTAAACATCCTCACTGTAAGAATCATCGCTGTCTAGTTACACATCCTCACTGTATGAATCATCGCTGTCTAGTTACACATCCCCACTGTATAAATCATCGCTGTCTAGTTACACATCCTCACTGTAAGAATCATCGCTGTCTAGTTACACATCCTCACTGTATGAATCATCGCTGTCTGTAAGTTTTAAAGTCTCCCTCTGTTTCTTCTGTCCTCTAGGTTATACAGATGACAAACTTCTAGTTTTACACAAAGTATATTTTCTTATGTGTGTCTTATCCAGCTCCCATTTTCTGCACATCTCTTGATTCTGTGGCATTCCATAAGCTCTACTGCTGTGATCCTGGGAATTTTGCAGTTCTTTTCTGAGAATGCACTGAATAATGAATGTTTTTAGTTTATCAAAACTGTCTTAATTATTCTCCATGTTTCTGATATTTACATAAGTGCTGATTTGATACTGAGTTGAATATTCTAAGTTCGTGTGTGCTAGATTTAAAAAAAAAAATACTTCATACATTTTCTAGTGCTATAAAAAATCTTGCTGCACTTTATATTCAATTGCTGCTGTCGGCGTTCTCCAACTGTGCTGACATTGTTGTCTAAATGTATATCTTATATCACCTCATAAAGCCTGGTTTAAAAGTGAGGTAAGCATTTGCCTGATTTATTCTCATCATCATCATGTAGCAGGTCCTTTGCAGAACGTCGCTCTCATCACAATCTGCCTGAAAGAAACTTGGTCTCTCACCAGTTCTCCCGCCTCATGAACTTTCACACTCAAGGAGTCACTTATATCCTGTGCCCATCTTCGTGTCAGTCGGCCCCTGCCCCTCCTTCCTGGTACCATGCCTTCTGCTATAATTTTTTTCCAATCCGCCGTGGCGCTTGATATGACCAAAATATTTTAGCTTTCGAGAAAGAATGCAAGATTTATTCTAATGAACTTTAAATTTCACAAGCTAAAATCTAAATCTAATTTTGGAACCCTCTCATTCTGTGCATTTAACTGCTCTTGTATGTGTACTGATAAAACTGTGGATACTTTTCAGTGAGATCTTGTTTGTGTACTGATAAAACTATGGATGCTATTCAGTGAGATCTTGTATTGTTGCACACCTTGCAGATTTATTGCAGCGACATGCGCAAAAGAGAACCAAAGGAGTACATAACTCTCCCACAAGGACCAGGGGAAAATTTCTCAGAGACCTTTGATAAAAAGTGAGGAAGGATTATTAAATTTTTGTGTTTTTGTTTTTGGTAAAATAAATAGTTTGCATTATAAAAGTCAAGTATTATGATTTTATATTGTAGTGTCTTATTATACTAATGGTTGTCTTCATGATGCAACCTTTAGATCCAAGTCATGGAACATTTCACAATCACTGAAGAAGACATAACTGGAAGAAAATAGATAAACCCATGTGAAGAAAGCAAATGAGTCTTCTGAACTTAAATGTCATAGAAATTTGTGGATCGGAAAGAACAACAATACTGCCATTACAAAATGGCCACATGGAGAAAGAACAACAATACTGCCATTACAAAATGGCCACATGGAGAAAACTGCTCCTAGACAGCATGCCATCCTGAAAAACAGAATTTCTGTGGCAATATAGAAAGTGATCTGGAAACAGGCATGGTGTCAGGTCAGAGGTCACGTCACAGCTTTTGAGACAGAGCATTTAAATAAGGAATGTTTCCCGGAAGAAGAGGCAACCATTGACCAGCATGGAGGGGGACACCAGACTTTAATTACTCCCTGGTTTTGAGAAAACTTGAGGCTTTAGAACTAGCCAGTAACTGAGAGTCTTTTAGGTGGGCCATGATGAGAATAACACAACGCACCTTCTGTGTGGGCAGAGCAAATGCCAGGTGAAGAATTGCTATCCTATTGCAAACATCTATAGATCAGATGTTCAGGAGATATCTCTTTAGTCATCAAATCTGTGCCAGGTAACCATCAGCAGCTTATGTAGGGAGCAGACAGTGACTTCACAGCACCATGATTATAAACAGAGTTAAATATGGTAATTTTAATATGAACAGACAACCTTAAGTTGTTGCACATATGATCCCTTGTGGGGAGCTGAGATTGCTTCTGTCTGCTTGACCATTTGTATTATCTGTCAGATATCACGTCTTTAGTGAGGGGTAACGGGTGGGTTATTTTACTACAAACTTGAATAGACACTGTTTGAGAACAGAGAGCTTCACGTACACCATAACTAAATCCAGTATGAGATTAGAGGGGGAGGCAGTAATGGCAGCATCCTGATGGCTTGAAAGCCAATAATTGTAATGGACTCACTGAGCATGCTTTGGAAAATTGAAATGGGTAACATGGTGCAGAGTAGTTTGCATCACATGAGAAAACCCAGATCAGAAGCAAATCATGGACATCCAGGACATTCAGATGTGTGAGGTAACTAGTTGGATCATAGATCATGGACATCCAGGACATTCAGATGTGTGAGGTAACTAGCTGGATCATAGATCCAGCCGCTTCTCTGAGTAGTCAGCTACTTCTTAATAAAAGGGATGGGGTGAGGGCTGTCTGGGACCACATGGACAGTGCAATAAAACAACCAGAATTCGTACATTGGGTGACAAATTAAACGGGAGGTGAGTAGAGGTTCTGGAAAATATTCAGCACTGAAGAGGAAGCAAAGGCAGACTGCTAATGAGGCTGCAACTGGTACTATTATCATGTCGACTCTTCGTTGGCTACTGAAGAAGGGGATGGAGCATGTGTGGGAATATTCTGCGTACAGGGATGTTAATTCTTCCTCCAGTCATATATCAACTAACTTAGTCTACATAAGCTGCATTCTCAAAGTCTCATGACACCATCATAGTTTGTGTCGTTGTAAAAATAGGATTGTTTTCCCACCTATTATGTAAAGTGTTGTAAAAATGAGATTGTTTTCCCACCTATTGTGTAAAGTGTTGTAAGAATAGGATTATTTTTCCATCTACTGTGTAAAGTGTTGTTGCTATGGTTGTCCTGCTTTGAACAGCTGAACAATACTTTCTTATTCCTTGAAGACTGAAAAAAGCTGGCACTTGTCCCTATAATGGTCAGCGTCCAGATGACCAGTGCAAGGAGTGCCAGAAACTAACCCACGAGGAGGCGGGCAACACCACGTTTTCCAAGATTAGAATTGATCTCAACACACTCATTGTATCAGGTGAGTAGTACATTAGTTGTCATTCTTCTCTTCACAGAGCTTCAGTTTTTCAACTTTAAAACAGATAATGTTTTTTTTTAAATAAATCATTTTTTGCTGTAGAATGTTCTCTATTGTAGACTCCAACTTTCTGATTAATTGTTTTACTTCACCTGTGCTGCTGCTGATAGATATTATAATGTACGTGTGTATATGTTCAGTTTCAGATGATACCTTCGGCAGTACCCATTCTGGCAAGTTTGTCCCGTATGCCACCAGCGGAGATTGTTACAGTTCCAGTAACTGTCCGCAGGTCAGTACACATGATTTATAAAATTACCCATATGATAGAACTTGTACACTAGTATTTTAAGTAGGTTATTAATACATAAGATTTTATAAAACGCAGAATCAATAAGTCTAGTGTCATCTCCACCATGAAGGTGGACTGTAATGGATGTCCAACATGATTGTACTGTTAGCACACTCCCTCAGACTGCTGTTCCGCCATCTCTTGTTCTTGTTCTGACACTTGTATCATTTTCTACCTCTTGCTATCTTCCATTATATATTTCCCTCCAGTTTGATTTGTAACCTAATCCTCCATCTATTGATGTGGCCAAAAGGTTTCAGTTGTTTCTTTGTCTTGTTGTTTCATCCACTGTTTTCATTCCCTGTTGCTTCATAACCTCTGCATTCCAGGTGTAACAGAACAGCAGGCAATCAGGTCAACACAAATAACAATGCATCCTGGGATACGAGAACTGTGTTGCACCCACTGTACGGAAATGAACAGGTAGCACCTGTTCAAAAAGATAAAAATACGAGGTGCTAATGAATATAGATGTGTAATCGGTAAATCAAAGTCTAAACACTGAACTCTTTCAGGACCAGTTTTTTTTGGGGGGGTTTGGACAGACCAATTTAGAGTGGTATTATTTTTAACTGCAACAAAACAAAGCTAAAACCCTTCTGAAGAAAAAGTATTTGCTGTATCAGGACATATAATATATCAAATTAAAGATAAAGGAGTGCAGAATAAATCTGTATAATATAAAGACTATGGTAACCATCTGGCAGTGATTCATCAATGACAGAACAGTATAAAACAAGTTCCAGACCTTTTACCTTATCATTTAGTATAGAAAAATCACATACAAATTGTATCACAAATAAATACTTTTTTTTATCAGAAAGTGACGCAAAAGTCATGTGGAACATCGCAAACAAAAGGACATCCTGCTTTTAATCATAATTCTTCGAAAACTTGGTCATAAAAGTTTGTTTCCCTCCACAAATGGAACAAAATGAGAGTTTCTCTAAGATACACCAGTATACTGGCGACCGTCTGATAGGGATAACTTCAAAAGCCAGTTTACTGGTAACCCATCTTTAAAGAGCTGATGCAAGGTTAATCGACTAGTAAAGGATAGTTAATGGTGCTGCTTGGTCTCCGCCAGCCTAACCTAGACAGCCATGTCAACATCACTGCCACAATAACTGAATTCCTAGGATGCAGGTACAAGATTCCCGGTAATACAGACATAAGATTCCTGGTGATACAGGCATAAGATTCCTGGTGATACAGACACAAGATTCCCGGTGATACAGACACAAGATTCCCGGTGATACAGACATAAGATTCCTGGTGATACAGACATAAGATTCCTGGTGATACAGACACAAGATTCCTGGTGATACAGGCATAAGATTCCTGGTGATACAGACATAAGATTCCTGGTGATACAGGCATAAGATTCCTGGTGATACAGACATAAGATTCCTGGTGATACAGACATAAGATTCTCTGATCCAGACAGTAAATGAAGTCTGTTAAATTTGTATGCAATTTTCTTCCAGGGTCGATTTAGCATCAACCTGGTAGACACCGGGTTTATTGTCTCCGTGAATACAACATGGAATCTCCATGGCAACAGAGCATCACAGAGGATCTGGAGACTCAGGGTAAGGAAATGAAATCATCGCCATCATCATCATCACCACTGCCATCATCATCATCACCACTACCATCATCATCATCACCACTACCATCATCATCATCACCACTACCATCATCATCAGTGTCATCATCATCACCACTACCATCATCATCATCGTCATCATCATCACCACTACCATCATCATCATCATCACCACTACCATAATCATCATCATCCTCACCACCGTCATCATCATCCCCACCACCATCATCATCCCCACCACCATCATCATCATCCCCACCACCATCTCCACCACCATCATAATTATCCTCACCACCATCATCATCATCTCCACTACCACCACCACCACCACCATCATCAACTACCATCAACATCTTTGTCATCATCATCACCACTACCATCATCATCATCATCATCATCATCATCACCACTACCATCATCATCATCATCCCTACGACCATCATCATCATCCCCACCACCATCAGCATCATCCCCACCACCGTCATCATCATCCCCACCACCATCATCATCATCCCCACCACCATCATCATCATCCCCACCACCGTCATCATCATCCCCACCATCATCATCATCATCATCCCCACCACCATCATCATCATCCCCACCACCATCATCATCATCCCCACTACCACCATCATCATCATCATGCCCACCATTATCATCATCATCCCCACCACCATCAGCATCATCCCCACCACCATCATCATCATCCCCACTACCATTATCATTATCCCCACCACCATCATCAACATCCCCATCACCATGATCATGATCATCATCATCATCATCATCCTCATCCCCACCACCACCATCATCATCATCCCCACCACCATCATCATCATCCCCACCACCATCATCATCACCACCACCACCACCATCATCATCATCATCACCACTATCATCAAGAGATTTGTCGTTGGCATGCTTGTTCTTGTTGTGGCAGAATTAAAAGTATTTTCTATTTGTTCTCAATTCTTGGTTTTGTGTACCACTTGCAGCACTTCAACCTTTGAAGGCTCTCTGGGATCAATAGACCATGCATGAAGGCTCTCTGGAATCAATAGACCATGCATGAAGGCTCTCTGGGATCAATAGACCATGCATGAAGGCTCTCTGGGATCAATAGACCATGCATGAAGGCTCTCTGGGATCAATAGACCATGCATGAAGGCTCTCTGGGATCAATAGACCATGCATGAAGGCTCTCTGGGATCAATAGACCATGCATGAAGGCTCTCTGGGATCAATAGACCATGCATGAAGGCTTTCTGTGATCAATAGACCATGCATGAAGGCTCTCTGGGATCAATAGACCATGCATGAAGGCTCTCTGGGATCAATAGACCATGCAAAGGAACATTCTGAGTATCCATACCATGAAAGACTAATTCAGCTTGTGTGGGAATGCCCCGAGTTAAATGCTGCTAATTCTTGATTGATTGATTTATTAATGCAACCCTAATTATGCCAACTGCTATTGTTCTTTCCAGTCCACAGTGTGGCTTGATATAGCCAAAGTATTTCAGATTCTGAAGCAAGATCATGTTTATGAGTCAGTTTTCTTGATGATTAGATCTTTTCTTCTTGGTCTATGGAGTTCTAAGAGTCTTTCTACAGCATTTCAGCTCAAAAGCCACTATCTTCATTTCTAATGATTGTGAGATCATCCACAACTCACCTGGTATCACCAGTAAGATTACATTTACTAAAAATATCCAGTATCATTACAGATACCAGTATATTTTACCAGCACCGACACCAGTATATTTTACCTCAACCGATACCAGTATATTTTACCTGAAGTGATACCAGTATATTTTATCTGAATTGATACCAGTATATTTTACCCGGATGTAGGCTTCTTGTTGCAAAATAAAACCTGCTGGAGATGTAACATTGTTCAACAATAGTTTAGTTCTACTAACTTCTATATTTTTAAATTGCTTTCTACATTTCTAGGTTGTGATCTGTAATGTTAGAGTGCCTTTTGCATGATATAACATGTATTCTACATAACTAGATTACCTTCTGTATTGCTAGATTTCCTAACAGTGTGTCAGAATATTCATTCTGATGTGTACACATTTTACCCCTGCACTATCTTACTTAAACTTCTGACATTACAGTTCTTCTTGCTGTCTAAATGTTGTTAATTTGTCACATATTTTAACAAATATTTTGTACTCTTTTTTTCAGGAGGGGCAGATAATTCGAGGAGTTTGTGGAGGACATTGTGGTGTTTGTTCCCCTGATCCCAGAGTTGGCCTAAAGCTGGATCTCTTAAGATGACAACCGATGTAGTGTAATTTACTGAACTTTGAACTTTGTGTATAAAATAGTACATGAGCAACTGTCTATGCTGCCAGAGAACAAGGTTGCCTTGACACAAATTCCTGCCATGACAATTGTTAGATGCCTTCATGGCCCTAGCCTCAGAGTGACAGAGGAAGCTGCAGACACAGACATTCTACCTGTCTGATATCATGGGACAGCTACTCCAATATTGTTTGTGCACACATGCACAATTGACCAGATAGCTTGTTTAATCATCCCATTTTATCACATTTCAGCAATTTGTTGCTTGCTTATTTTCTCAGTTTTTAGCATTCATATTTAAAAAAAAAAAAAAAACAATCTAATGAAGAAAAAGAGAGACCAGAATGTTTTCACTTTGTGGACAATACCCAGTGACTCTGATACAATCAGAAAAAAATACACACTTACTGTGAAAGTAGCGAGCACAGGCATACACACACACACTTACATCCACTCACCCATGCACGCACACCCAGCGACCCACATAAGGGGTTAAGAAACTAAGAATTTTTCTGAACATAATACAAACTGGTTGATAAACAGAATCATGACTCTGGCCATAAAACACAGGCATGGTTTCCAGGAGAGGCCTAGCTCAGCTACCACAAGGCATCATAGGCACAGCCCTCTTCTGTAGCATTTCCTCATTGATGCAGATATCACCCACCCACCCACTGTTTGTCTTCTCATTCAATTTGTTGACTCCCAATGTTTGTAGGTCTGCCTGGATATTATCTCTCTAGCACTTTTCTGTAGCATTCCCTCATTGCTGCAGATATCACCCACCCACCCACTGTTTGTCTTCTCATTCCATTTGTTGACTCCCAATGTTTGTAGGTCTGCCTGGATATTATCTCTCTATCACCTTTCTGGTCTACATCATGATCTACTCCCATTCAGTCCTTTGTGTGCATGGTGTTAGCCTTTCTGTCATCTGACATTCTTTCAACATGCCCCAGCCATTTTAGTCTATTTGCCCTCATGATGCCAGTGATCAGTGGTAAATTAAGCAGATCTTGAATTGCAATTTCTTCTTACTCTGTTCCCTGCTGTTTGCATTTTTGATGGGATAATAGACACATTAAGAATGTATACATGAAAGGCAGGAGAACTAACAGAAGATACAAAGTCTACCTAGCATGCCACAATGAGGGAAACATTTGCCTGTTAAATGATCGCACACAATAAACAGCACAAGTTTTAAAGTGTAGGCTGTTCTTTGTTGCCAGGTTTCTGTGGCATTTGTTGTCATTAATTGTAATGATCAAACCAAACTGATTTTTTTTTTATTATTTGGTTTTGTTGTACTATTTATGGTAATGAACAAAAACAGTAGGTCACTGTCTGCCAGAAAGGTATAATTGTTATGATTTTTTTTTAATTACTTCAAGTCATAGGTTCATATTCATACATCTTAATACTTAATATTTTACACCTGAAATGAGCAAATATGTTTACAGAGGCATTTCTGTAGGCCATTTCAAACAGAAAATAAGTCAAGATAATGGATCTGAGAAATTAAAAAAGTGTTGAGAATATTGATCTTGCTATTTATTTGTATGTCTGAAGATCCAATAAGTACATAATTTGATTTATTTGTTATATGAAGAGCAAACCATCATCAGTTTTATGTTTTCACTAATCAGAGATCGCTAGTACTTTTCAGAAGTTTCCTTGACTTGAGAAAATCTTACAGTAATGAAAAAACACTAGAAAATGACACATTATTCTTAGATATGTATGGCCTGCCAAGAAAGCAAACTTTTTTTTTTTTACAATACACAATATTGTAACACATTTGTTTTACAAATGTTCGCAAGTGATTCACAATTTGCATTTAAAAATCCTAGTCAACTTTTGATTTTAAAATTATAACAATTTTATTAGTTTTCAAACTGCTGTTTTGATAGAAATGTCAGATCTGTTTTTGTCATGTGTAAAATTAACTTGATGTTACTTTAGAAGAATAGCTGCAGATCTGAGTTTTAGACTCATAATTGTATTTATCAGACATGAAAATCAATTATTTTACAATTTCAGATCAACAGAGAAATTAATTCTGTATAAACTGTCAAAATGATTATTTCGGTGTTTGGGCTGACCTAGCCTACAAGTCGACCTCAAGATTTTGTCGTTGAAAATTCTGAGTTATGTATAGGTTTACCACCCCCCCCCCCCCCACCCCAAACATACTGGTTCTCACTGGAGATGTGTGCTTTAGCATTAACGGAATACCAAATTTATGTTACCACTTTATACTGTGCCAAATATTTTCACCAAACACAAGTTTTAGTGCTATATGTGTGTGATGACCTGCTGCAGGTATGCTACAGGGTCTACAATGATTTTTAGGAGTGCAGTCCCCCTGGGTTACAACTAGTTGATCCATTTTTTGGGGGGAAAGATATTTTAGGCCTCAAAAGTAACTTATACGCCACAATTTACCAATATCTCATTGCACAAACAAAATAAAAGTGTGCATGGGCCACTTCTGTATGTGCCAAAATACTTGTGACATCTTTTAATTGTTTTAGAGAATTTACCTCTTCCCCAGCTGTTGCTTTTTAACTCCTCCAGACCCAAGTAGCTCCTGACATGCCACTGGCATTTTCCCAGGGTCTCATCCATTGTTGGATATGTTCTCTAGTATTTTGCATTTTGTCAGAGCATTCAACATAAATCTGGCTTTTGCAGTAGTCACTTATACAGTGTAATTAGCATTTCTAAGAGTAGTTAATCCATTTATATCATGTTTATTTCTTCTCTCTAGCATTTGCTGAAATACAAAATATAGAATCACTGTTGAAAATAATATACTAAAATATTATAATAAATTATAGCTTCAATGTGAGATAAAAGAGGGAGGAAAACTGTATGAAAAATAGATGTATAGGAGTGGGCCATGAGGCAAACTAAGAAGACAATGGGGAGATTATAAACAAACAGAGCTATAAACACTTGGAGTAACCAACTGGAAAGAGAGGGCCAGTCACAGAGATAGAAGGAAGTGGGTGATTCAGTCACAGAGATAAAAGGAAGTGGGTGATTCAGTCACAGAGATGAAAGGAAGTATGTGATTCAGTTACAGAGATGAAAGGAAGTGGGTGATTCAGTCACAGAGATGAAAGGAAGTGGGTGATTCAGTCACAGAGATGAAAGGAAGTGGGTGATTCAGTCACAGAGATGAAAGGAAGTGGGTGATTCAGTCACAGAGATGAAAGGAAGTGGGTGTTTGATGTCAGCAGCAACACCCAGGTACACCCTCGCCTGGGTCATCTTATGTCCTGTGACTATGTCTGGCAGGTCATACTTGTTTGAGAGCCCTAATTAAACAATCATACTTGTTTGAGAGCCCTAATTAAACAATCATACTTGAAATAAAAGATACTAGGTAAATACTAGTCTGTACAACAATTGTTTGACTTCACTCTTACAATTTGTGAAATATCCACACAAGCTATGATAGTCTAAAAGCCACTTACTGTAAATACTTTATATTTTTACCTTTTTTAAGTGTATCCTTAAACATTGCATTTTTTTTAAAACTTGTTTGACTTAAAGGTCACACTACTCTTAAGATACTTTTATATCCATTGTCTATTTTTGTTGTTGTATCAATGCATCCATACAGTCATCCACAAGATTGCTGAAAGTGTACATTTTCTTTCAAAATATTGGTTTTATTTATAGGCGTTATATTTCCAACTTGAGAGCCTAGATGCATGTTTATAGTCATGAACAAAATTAATTGTTTCCTTTTTTGTGTGTATCAGTTGTTTTTAAGGTCACATAACTTTGCTGCAAGGACAGACTCTGCTCAGCCATCACTGCCATGTTGACCGCCAGGATATTATTTGTGAAATGTTTTCAGAATAATCTTGAACAGTTTACCAAAGTATAAAAGGTTGATCAGTATGTGTTTATATGTGCATACCTGTACATTTATAGATGTGTATATGTGCATTTATTTGTGACTCAGTGTGTGCCTATATGCGACTCAATGTGTTTGTATGTGCATACATGTGTATTTATGTATGTACATGTATATTTATATGTACACAATATGTGCACAAGTGTTATTTTTGTGCACATGCATTCATGCATTTATAATATATGTACATATGTGTTTATATGAGTTCACATGTATTTATATATATCTGCAAAAAAATGCCTGTGTGTGTAACAATAACAAAAATCACACATTAACTTTTATGTTGCATGGGATATGATTGTTAACATTGTAAACTATAAGTATTGTAGATATTTAACCATATCACTCCCAAGAAAGCCACTTTTCAGGCATTAAGGGCTTTTGATGACATGAAGTGTTTAGACTGCCCATATGGCATCTTTGGTGCTGATTGCATCCACACTGTGTGTAGGCGTATCATGTATGATTATATTTACACATTTACACACACATACACACACACACACACAAATTAAATAGCATTTGAGGTGACAGAAATTGTATTTGTAAAAAATGGTGACATCATAAGAATCACTTGATGATGTCATCAATTTCATTTGCATGGCTAACTCAATAAAGCCAGATCTATCAGGCAAAGGAAGACACAAGCAGTTAACTCTTTGCTCCATTTGTATTTAGTGATTAATTTGCTTCAGTAAATAATAATTTTGCTAGTAAAAGTGAGTTGAAAAAATATAATGTGAACTATTTCTATGATTTGACAGCGGCGATGTTACAGGGGATATCACTCCTGCCAGCCTGATTGGGGGATCATAGGTTTCAACACCCTGGATTTTTATATCAAGTGACAGAGACTACATTTCATCTGCGATCATTTGTTGCATGTGGGAGCCCCATTTCAGAGGGAATAGACCCAATCCCCCCCACCACCCCCCCCCCCCCAAACAAGCATGCTGTAAGAGTCAAATAATTATGGGTGTTTACTTTGAAGTTGGATTACATCTGCCTAATGGGTGAGGAACTAACAGTCTGCATGCAGATA